GAGACATCGTGGTTGCTGGGATCTCCTGACATGGAAACATYTTAGCTGTTAGTTGGCACCGTCATCACCTCTGGCAGCTAGCAGTTTCTTTGCATCCTTGTGCACCTCTTTCTCTGGAAAGTGGGCCTTCCTCTGAAAAGGAATGTGAATATTCGGTGCGTATGCAGGGTTGATATAATACACGGAGATCTGCAATAGACTTGGTAAAAACTTTCTCGTTAAAAATATAGTAATGCCAGGAAAAATAAAGTCACATGAAGAAATGCAAGGCAAAGAGAAATGCTGGACAACAGAAATGGTTTAGAAAATTAAAGCTGGGCTGAGAAGGGGTGAGAAACTTGCAGCAAAGCAGTGCAAACAAGCCAAAGAACAGGGGCTTAAATTTGGAGGAGAAAGTCRGATGGATTTGGAGAGAAAAGAGGTTGAAGTGGTTGTTGTTCTGACAGTACTCTGGACTAGTTGAATCTCTCTGGGCCAAGCTCATGGGCAAAGATTTCAGTTTATTAATAGCATAGAAGCAGCCAGTCGTCACTGTCAGTTCTGAGCACCTCACCAAGGTGTTCGTGGATGCTGATGATGGCAGAAGATGTTTGTGTTTGCTCTAAGTTTAACCTTGGACAGACTTTCCTGGGGCAGAGTGTGCGCAGTTGAGGTGAGGCCTGAGGAGACCTTAGACCAACCTGCACCTGCAAAATTAAGTGTGTTTTTTCTGTCTCCTATAAAACATGCGTTTGTGGAAGTGGTTTACAGAAGGAACTGATGGAGGTCGGGGGCTCTTAGGATATTGATGTTAGCCCACAGCAGCTGTGACGTGGTGGTTCAAAGTAAGGTTATGAGTATGTATCTGCAGCGCCCAGGTCGTGAGTGTTGTGCTGTGCTGTAGGCTCAGCAGGGTTGTCTGTAGCTATAAGTTAATGCTCAAGTACCCAGGAGAGCAGGTTGTTCAGCGCTGATGTGTTCTCTTTCACCACAAGCACATTTTACAAAGACTTTGTGCAAAATGAAGTTATGTTTTTATTGAATACTAAGTGGGGGGGGAGGGTCACACCTGTAGTAGAAGTTTATTTACAGTACCAAAGTGAAAAATATATAGATATGTGCCTTGTTTTTGTAGTCAAAAATACTCTGTACTTCTCAAAGGCATCATTATTTTTATCTGGCTAAATGTCTCAAAACATTCCTCCTCTTTTGATTTATGAACCTTTGCAGAGTAACAGAAGCTTAAAACGTTTGTTTGCAATGAATGTTCTTGGTACAACTATTTTTTGCTGGTTAATAATCAGACCAAAGTTTAAACTAAAGTGTTTAGCTGCTATTGTGTTTTTTTTTTAAGTGTTTATAGGCTTAAAGTGTCAGCCCATTTTAATGAGAAGTTTATAAATTCATTTCCTATTTAATATCACAATACATTTGCACTTTTATTGTTTCCATAAAAAGTTGGTGTTTTTGTTTTAATATTTCACTGTAGTAATAAACAGCTGTTTTAAAACTTTTGTGCCTCAGGATTTAAATTCTTTGTTCTTTCATTAAATGTTACCTGCAGCCAGGAAGCTGGATGATCTCTAGGTTGAGGTGCTTTTCAGGAGAGTGCTGAAGCAGCAGGACCCTGAGGACGAGGAATCCCGTGCAGAGGGATGCGGAGCAGAGCAATCGGCCGGTGGCTCCTGGGGCTCGTTGTGTGGTGACATCWGAAATGGAGCACGTGGGCTTGGTGGCTGGATTCCAGTGGGATAAGAACGCAGCAGCTCTTGTCTCCCTGGCTCCTGTTCCAGGTTGTTGCAGAAAATCTACTTTTTCTAGTTCTTAATGAAGAGCTAGGACTTGGTTTCACTGGATCACTGTGAGCTTGTCAGCATGGTATGTACAAATGTATGCTCATTCCAAAATGCCTCGGTTGCACTTTATTAAATATGAAAGACCCCCGCTGAAGCCAGCAGGAGTTGCGTGGATGGACCAGCACGTTACCTGTCCTTTATTAGTCTTTGGTAAGATGCCAAACCTACATTCTTACAGCTTGTGCTGATGTTCCCTGTTAGACAGTAATATCAGCAAGATCTCTACCTTTTCAGTTATTAAATCAAACCTGTGCTGAAAATAACTACCTGCAGTGCTCTCTGTGTGCCTGCCCCTTGTCTTGCAGAGCATGTCTCTGTAAGAGGGGAAGCAACCATTTTAGAAAGCTCTGGCAAAGTCCAGCTAGCTAATGGACTTCTCGCACAGATTTAAAGCATGTCATTTTTTTAGTGTCAATATGCAGTTAACCCAAGTCAGAGTGGAGGAACAGTATTTAGATCCTCACCTCTCTAATAAAAATAACTCATATTAACGGTGTCCTCAAAGCATTAACCTTCTTCCAGTCTCCATTCATTCCCTCTTCTGAAGTCCTTCTCTTTGAATCCTGACTTTCTTTTTCAGCAGAGAAACATTAGGAAAACAGAGTTTTCCTTTCATGATAATTTTTTCCTTAACAAAAAGAAAAAAAAAAAAAATCTAAGGACTTGCATGCTTGGCTTAAGGAAAAGGATGTCTGCATCCAACTCATTGAATAAATTGTTTAAGATCTTTCCATCCCTGTGCCGAATACCTTGCTGGTAATGCAGCCAAGGTCAGTGGTGAATTGCTGATTAAGTGCTGCTAATGTGAGTTAAAGCTGCCTGGAGGGGAAAGGACTCATATTTGGGCATCCGATTTTCATAAGATTCAGAAAAAAAAATCAGAAGAAACTTGCTCTTTAGGCTGCTTTATATCCCGTGTCACCTCCTTAAAGGTTTGCCTGCTGAATCTTGCCCGGTGCAGGTGAGGTTCTGGCTGGTGATATCTGGGCAGCCGGTGGGAAGCGGCCTGCAGTGCTCCGCTCCGGCGGCCTGCGTGGGGAAGCTGCTGCTTGGAGCATGGGCACGGGCTATGGGCAAAGACCCCTCCAGGGTCTTTGGCCCTGAATTCATGCTCAGTGCCTCCTGACGCTTCAGAGTGCGGGCTGCAACTCGCTTGGGGGTTTTGGGTAGTGCACAGCCCTCAGAAGCGAGGGCAAAGAGGGCTCGCTGTGCTCGGCGCCGCCTGTAAATTATATCACAACTTGGGTTTCTCCAGGGCCCTGTGTGCCTAACTCTTGTGCTTGTTTACTCTTGTGTGCGTGCCTGTGGTATCCCCATTTAGCTGTGCAACCAAGAATTGGCGCATTAGCAACTTCTTTTTAAAGAGATTCAAAGTGTCATAGTATTAAATCTGTACAAGAGCTGAAGAGGTGAAATATGTGCTCTGYGTCTGCTTGGCAGCCTGCTGGTGTTCAAGTGATGATTTGTGCACAAAGCTCTCGGGGCGCTTTACAGAAACGGATGCATCAAGTGTTGTGTCAAAGTCTCCTGTGTTAAGGAAGCTTTTTTTCCTCCCCTTAAAGGACAAGAAAACTGATCCAGAAAATAGCTGGCTGCCCAGTATTGTAAGATTCCTATATACAAGGCCTGCAACTTGAGTTTCTTGGGATTTATTTTCTTACAACCAGGACAAAACCTGTGCTCAGAATAACCAGTTCCTTGGGTGATGCTGGGTGCTAGGTTTGCTTGTGCTGTCGGAATACTTGGACTGCTCCATAGGCTCCTGCCCTGCTGCAAGGAGCCCTGCTGATGATCGGGGTGTGATGGGGTGAGGTTGGGGGGTTACGCTGCGAAGGTTACCAGCCGTCAGGCTGACGCAGGTGAATTGTCCTGGTGCTGAGTTGCCAGCCCGGAGAGTGGAGGGGCCCTCCTGAAGGGCTGTGAAGCCCAACTGCAGGAAACGGAGGAAATGCAGCCGAATCCAGCAAGACCAACCACTTCCCCACTTGTGTTTCAGAGCGTTGCCTGCCTGTTTCAAGCGGGGGAGAAGAGAAACTCAGGGCTGTGTTTGCCTGCAAAGCTGCTGGCCTCGTTGCAGCAGGGAGCAGTGCAGAGAGGGGCTCTCAGCAATGGGTGCAACGTTTTGCTCTGTGCGGGGTTAAGATGCTGCAATTGCAGCGTTTTTGTCTTGGGAGGGAGTTCTCAAGAACGGAGCGCTGATCCCTCTCTTCTGTGATCCCAGGTGCTACTTTGGGATAGCTTTTTTCAAAACACATACCAGTCAGGATTTGGGCCCTTCAGATCGGTTTTTGCCTGCTGAGAACTGCTTTGGGGATCCTGATTCCTGCTGGCCTGGCCTAGGTAGAGCCGCAGCTTCCCGTGCGAGCGGAGCTGCAGAGGAAATGACTCATTCCTCTATTTCTGGCACAAGACTCTTTGCGCCGTCTGGAGCGCTTGGGAATATCTTCTCAGGGGTTCTTGGAAATGCTCCTCCTGGAAGTGCAGGACCTGCATRGCTGGTTCCTTGGAGATGCCACCAGTGCTCCAGGAAGCAGCATGGTTGCCCCAGTGCTACTGCAGTGGCCTGTGGCTCCAGGGCTCGCCTGGCTGTGAAAGTGCTTTGAATTTGCCTCTTGAAATAGCTCTCGTTCCTCCAAGATGTTTACCCAAGGCACGTGAAGAGCTTTCGGCACACAAGCGATTCCTCAGGGAAGAATTGCTCTGGTTCTCCAGAATGACCCTGTCATTAGGTGGCTGCCAGGAGCTGGTAGAAATGAGGTGCTGCGGGCTGGTTTGGGGCGACYGTGGAGGTGTCAGGGAAGGGAGAACAGGGCTTGGGACCACGTGGAGGTGGAGGRGGGGCTGTGGCCACCGAGCTGGCCCTGGCTGAACAGCCCCTGCCTTCCTGAGCCCCCTCTATGCCACCGGAATGAGCTTCTCCAGCCAAAGCTTCCCGGATTTGTGGTATGTATGGGAACAGGTGGTGGTTTGAATGCTGCCCTCTGAGATGTCCCTTAGTAAAGGTGTTTTCCCCCTGCTCTAAGTACTTCTTCTTTCTCCCTTTGCTTGGCAGTCACTGTAGCACCTTGCTCATGAAGCCTCTAGATACTTTGAGTAGGAGTTCTCRTCATCGCTGCTCAGCAAGGGTGACTGCCCCGTCGGAAGGGCTGCACSGTTGAACCTCTGATGGCAGCGTCCTTCAGCCTGGTGCTGGCTGGGGACCTCCAGCAGCCAAGGGTTACGATCCAGATGGTGGCATCGGCTGCAGACCGGGACCATCAGGCTGGCAGGGATCGTGACGAGGACAGGTTTGGTTTCCAGGGGCCAGTGCAGCTGTCTCCCTCTGCTCACATCCCAGAAAGAGATTCAGAAYGAGCAGGAAATTGGAATTCAGCGAGGACTTGGCTCCCTTCTCTCAGTTGCATTTCCTGGATTTGCAGGCACCTCCTCTGCTGAGATCATGTTCCAGGGAAAGCTGGCCCCCGCAGGGAAAACTCGCGGCAATGGCAGAGAGGGGAAAAGAATCTCAACAGATGAAACCAGGGTTCCCAAGAGCTAGAAATATTCAATAATTCTATATATTTTGTACATAYAGCACTGCAATGGTTTAGGCTACAAATCACCCCTTTAACCCATCAGAATCAGGTCTACTCTGAGATAATGTATTTTGCACATTGGCTTAATGAGATGGAGAAATGAGATGTAACAGTGTAAATGCTTCGGACAAACTTTTGGGGAAAACTGCAGCAGTAAAATGTAGCAGGATCCTGGAGCTCAGTGAAAAAGCCTGGCTGATTTAGTTAAAGAAAGTGTGTTTAACCACATCTGGTTCTGCACAAACTAATATCTGGTTGGAAGGGATCAAACTGTGGATGCCAATTCCTTCCCACCTCTTTCTACTTTGTGAGAGCCCATATGAAGAGGAAAGAAATACTTTAAATTATGACCTCTTGTATTATCAGGAATTAAATAGCAAATGCCTTTGCACACAGTTATTTTAACAACTTGGGGTGAGGGGATGAGACTGTTCTTCTAAAATAAGCATACAGTGAGTTTGCAATGTAATGTGATCTCCCAGCCTTTACTTCATGTTTTTATCCTTGAGAGCTCAAAAGATGGGACGCGAAGCGAGSGTGTGAGCGTCCTGCCCTAGAAAGCAGGGAAGGATGGCCCCGGGCTGGGAGACAGCGCTGGGAGAACTACTGTTTCCAGTGTCTTGTTCCCTAGCTTAAAAACAAGCAAAAAAACCTGCATGAGTAGAAATCGTCCATAAAAATAGAACTCTCTTCCTCAGGAATTTTCTTCAGTGGTGACTACGAGATACTCTCTCTAATGATTTATATAACAAAAATAGCTCTGCTATACGCCTGTGAGCAGTTAGAAACACGAGCCTGCAAAGGAAATCTCACGGCTCGCTCCTCGACCTGGGCGGCTCGAGCAACCCGCCTTAACGAGGAGGAGATACAAAAGCAGTGGAAAACCCCGCGGCCTTCTCTGCAGGGGCAGCACCCCGGGCTGCTCCGGCCGAGGCACGGGGCGAGCGCCCTGGGGTGCCGCTGGCAGCGCGTCAGCCTCGTGACGCCCGTGCCCGGCTCGGCTCCAGCCCGCGATGCTGCAGCCGCCTCACGTCCTCACGTGCGGGCCACCCTGTGGGCTGACAGCCCCGCTACGGTACCTGCTACATGGAGTGGCTGTGCCGGCCCCGGCGCTGCCGGACAGGGCGGCGTGCGCTGGGYGCCAGGGCAAGCGCGCAGCGCTGGATGGCCGCTTCCCTTCTCCGGCGGCAGCGATGCACTTCCCAGAACCGGACTTGGCCCTGCAGGCACGAGCAATGAGCCCCCTACCCCCTTTTGCTCCTGCTCTGCTGCTGCCGGGTCTTGCAGCACTGCTGGCTGCGGCCACRGGTCTCCCCTTGTGCTCAAATTCCCTGAAGGAATTTCAGGGGGAGCGGCAAGGTGAGGGAGCTTGGGGGACAGGAGGCTCCGGAGGAGCCGCTGCCAAGGGCGATGGCCGTCCGGCCGCGGGCTCAAGYGATGCGGATGAGGCCTTGCACGTGAGCAGCAGGCAGACGCCTTGCTACCTCGCCCAGCCGCTCCTCCCCTCGCCTGCCCCTCGCAGCAGAGGGATCTGCGGGCACAGACCCCGCGTTGGCGCTCGGCCGCCCCGCTGAGGCCGCCGTGAGCGGAGGGGCTGCCTGGCCTGCGCTGTGGAGGACGGACGGACAGAGGTCACGCGAGCAGCTCCGCTCGAGCGCCGCGGGAGGAGCCAGCGCCCGGGAGGCCTCGGCCGYGCACGCCACAAATCAGATTTCCCAGCGAGCCGCGGCGCGGGGCTGCGCTCGCCCCCGAGCGGCCCTGCGGGAGGGTCTGCGCTGGAAGGCTTCAAGCCACAGCCCGAGAGGCTCCTCACGCGCGGCTACRCAGGAGCGCGTGATGGAAACGCATCCATGTCGCGCGGCGTGCTGCCGCTGCAGCCTGCGCGCTCCTTCCATGCAAAAATCAATAGTAGCACTGACCACCACAATAAACTTATTGTTTTTGCTCTTCKTCTGCAAAATAATTTTGAGGAAAAAAAAATAGAAGAGAGGATTTGAGGTTTCACATGATCTGTATTGTTTGAAGGGCTTCTGCCTCAGGGCAAGGGCAGCCATCCTCTGCACTTGCCAGAGATGCCCAAGGGATCTCCTGTCGGCAAGGCAGTGACAGCCAAGATGGCATCGGATCTGCCTTTGTCTGTCCCAAGTGTTTGAAAGGAATAAGCAAAAACAGCGTAATCTTTACGTGGTGCTGCCTGCTGTGACTAGCAGCATTGGGGCTTTAAGAGTCAAAAATCTGCCTTAAGCAGTGCAGCTCCTCTCCAGGATGCCATAACGGGAGGAAGGCCTGTGTGCTCCTTGCTGCAAGCTGCCCTACGGCCGCGGTGACGTGAGGCGAGCAGAGCAGCGACAAAGTCATGGCTGGCGTTTTGAGCACGGTGACACAGCGAGCAGCTCACCGGGGAAAGCACATTCAAAGGCAGACCCCAAAAGTGGGGGACAACTTGGACTGCAGGGTCCTTGAGAGCTCAAGGCTGCCTCCAACAGCCAAGTCCTACTACTCTTTTCTTGCTTACTTAACTCCRCTGTGGTAGTTAGTTATTTTTCTACAACAGAAGCTGGCCTCCCTGGGGAAAAGGAGAATGTGTTCCTAAGTTAAAATAAAACCTTTCCCAYGGAAATCAGTGGGGGGTTTTCACTGACTTTGCTGAGAACTTAAATAAGCCATTCAATGACATCAGTGGYGCAGAAGCTTCCCAAAGCCATGCCACCCCGGAGACGGTCCATGCGACTGTACCAGGGGCCTTACAGCACATCAGAAAAACGGAGCCCGTTCAGCCGGGCTGCTCTCAGGACATCTGCCACTYGCTGCTGCGCTGCCCTTGGTGATGCTGCAGCCTGGCCACCATGGTCCCCTCGCCTCTTATCAGCGCAGGGCGTGCGGGCCCCTCTCACCTGCCCTGGATGCTGGGGACGGGGCAACACCCCTAAGTGCACRTGGGTGCCAAGGGCAGGTGTTTGGGAGGACGCCGCCTTGCACCGGGGGTCGTTTGGCCCCGGGTGGGGAGCAGGACGCAGCTCCCGCSACGGGCTCCCCCACGCGAGACGCGCGTCCCGCGCTGCCCCGCGCCGTCGGGGCCCGTCGCGGCGGGGCGCTGCGGCGCTGAAGTTCGGGCCGGGCCCTCTGGAGGTCAGTGTTCCCCCGCTCCG